GAGGGTTCTTGTCATTGGGAACCACCTGCACGTTGTTGGCGGCGTACCACTCCATGGCCTTTTTACCGTAATGGCAAGATGCCAAATCCGGCCAAAACAGTACGGAACAACCGTGTTTCTTCAGGAAAGGCAGCAGACGTTTATTCAAACACTCTTTCACGTAAATTTCTTGGTTGACAGTCCCGGAAGCTATGAAAATGCTGCTTTTCAAGCCCCAGGTACAGATGGCTTGCCAAACCAGATATTTCTTTGCGAACTTTGACAGTTTCATGTGCTTGAAAACATCTGCTACCTTTCCCCTTCCTTTTGCCGTATAAAACTCCTGTCCCGGAAGCTGCTTGTAGTCGGCTTTGACGTAGGTTTCGTCGTCCATTACCACGCAGTCAAACTTCGTCAGCATCGTCGTGTACAGCCTCCGGGATCGCGCTTTGGCTGTCGTATTTTGTTTATCATCGCGATTTGGAGTCACTACCTTCTTGTAAGTCGATAGTCCGGCTCGTTTTTTGGCTCGATGCACGGTTGTAGACGATACACCCAGCTTATTTGCGGCATCTCGGAGAGAGAGGTTAGGGTTTCGCTTGAAACTACCGGCAACTCTCTTTGTCGTCTCAGCGGCTTCCGGTTTTCGATTTCCCCCCGATCCAGACTTCCTGGCTGTCGACAAACGTTCCCCAAACACTTTAATTACATTTGTAACGGTTGATTTGGCAACTTTTAGCGATTTAGCCAACTTTGCGTGCGAGTAGCTCGGATTTTCGCGATGCGCGAGCAAAATTTTGATACGCTGCTCTTCTTGCTTGGACGGCATTTTGACAACTGAAGAGTGAATTCCAAAATCAAAATAGGAGCAACATTCTACACACACACACACCTTCAAAATGAGGGGTGTTCAGGTTTTTTAAATGCAAAATTGAAAGAAATACGTCAAGTTGATATTGACCAAATTTTGACCGTATCACCCTTTATAACAAAACATGCAAGCATCATTGCAACTGATTTTAACTTGAAATAGGGAAAATGGCGCTAATGTTGGCCTATGGATCTCAGATTGGGCCTATCGCTAAAAATCTGCTATTTATCAATTTTATCTACACACATTGAAAAAATACTGTAAAGTTAGGTGCTCTGAGACTGACATATACACACTTAGAAAAAATGATGTAAATTTAGGTGCTCTGAGACTGACATATACGAGCGTCAATTTTGACATAAAATTGAGTCATAATCACCCCGGGAGCTATTTGACAGCTCCAGTGTAATGTCTATGTACCCCGAAAATTCTGGTACTCTGGTTCTGTCAAATCGAATAATGATGGAGTAAATTTACAATTGGTCTTGTTTTTTTATCTACTCTTTTTTTCACGTTTTTGAGTTTTTGTTGTTGTTTCTAATTTTTGTAAAAACATTGATGTTTTTTAAATTTCCTTCCAATTGCCATAGCTGGACGGGATTGGAAAGTGTCTGTCTATGTATGTGTGTATGAGAGCGCGTAATCACAATTTTCTTAAACGTATTTCTCGGCAACCGCTCTACCGAATTGAACGCAACAACCACCAAATGAAAGGTACGATGATTTTATACAATGTTAATGAACAGATTTTTAATCGAATAACTGATTCCGGTGATTTGGACGGAAAAAGATTCGAAGATCACGGAATTCGGGAACTAAGTGGTGTTCTCGGAAACCACATAACCGAATTAAACGAAAAAAACCAGCAAATAAAAGGTATTATAATCACATTGTATGCTGTTGAACAAATTTAGAATCGGTCAACTATTTTTTTTTTACATGTATTTTGGGAACTAAATCATATTTATCGGTCACCACTAATGTGAATTGCTCGCAACAACCACCAAACGAAAAGTATCATGATCCCATAGCCTCACCTATAGAACATTATTGAACAGATTCAGAATTTATCAACTGGTGCAGGAAATGTGGTAGGAACATGTTCCGAAGAATGTGAACCATGATACTAAATTTGACCGGTAAGGAATAAAACCTATCATGTGAAAAAACAAATTACTTCAAAATATGATAACCAAATGAATTGTGACTATTTCGAGTTAGTCAGTTTCGGGCATGTCCCAGATGCCCCCGGGGAATAGAATCAAAACCCATCATGCCAAATAATGAATGTTTCAAATTTTCATTAAATCGATTAAATTCCAATCTTATATAAGGTTCGTTATGAGGAAAACAATGCAACATCAGTAGGGTAAACGCTCCTATAGTTGTGGTACGTTAGAAGCGTTAGGTTCCTATAGTTGTGTATTGAGTTTCCATGCTCAACTATATGAACCTAACGCTTCTAACGTACCGCAACTATAGGAGCGTTTCCCCTAATACGTCTCAGTGATAATTTATTCTTGGCTTGAGTTTGACGACCACATGAAGTGAAACAAAAACATATTTTCTGATGTGAAAAAAGTTGTGCCACCAACGATGGCTGACCCTATTGTTTACGTACGGTGGAGACATCTACAATTTGTAAGCGGGTACGTGAAACTAAGGTTTTCTGTCTAGATACTCAGGGGTTGGTCATAATAGACGCGAAATTCAGCTCAATCAAACCTACCTTCGAACTTTTCAGTCTCGGAGCACTTAATTTTACATGAAATGTTTGTTTACGTCTCATCCTTTATGTCAAATATGGATTCCGTCACGTGTAAGATTAGGTATTTCTAAGTGTGTACGAGCGTCAATTTTGATATAAAATTGAGTCATAACAGACGCGCAATTCAACTCATTCAAACGTACTTTTCGTCGAGTAACAAACTTTTCAGTCTCGGAGCACGTTATTTTACATTACATATTTGTTTACGTCTGATTATTTATGTCAAAGATGGATTCCGTCACGTGTAAAATTAGTTATTTCTTAGTGTGTAGTTGAATGCGTCATTGGTGGGTATTTTTGGCCGCTATTGAAAATTTAGTCGATTGCTGAATTTATGTATGGGCCCAAATTAGGGCCATTCAGGCCGATATTTTTACTGCTATTTCCCCTATCAATCAATTTACTAAGAATTTTCATATATTTACACGGGAATTGCAGTTCGTCCCTTTGATTGCCATTTTCTCAATGCCCACTTTACCCATATAGAACTGATATGCGATTATAGGCGTTGCAAGTCCGTTAGCATGACGGCCATATTTGGACTCCATCAAGTATGTCCTCAAATAGGAACAACGCAGATGTCGTACACATTGAATTCGGTAAAATTTTATCAGGAACAGCTATCATTAACTGAAAAGTTAATTCACTGATTTTTAAACTTTTACCGAACAGTTCCGTTGCACTGAACCATCAAAGGTCTGGATTAGTGTGTATGACGAAAAGTTAACAACTATAAAAAAAATCCTTGTGACATTCGATCTAGTGACCATTTTGGCCTAATGATCCATCACCGTGTCCAGATACCTATTGTCAAAACTTGTCAAACAATGAAAAAAATGAAACAACGAAAACTCGAAAATAGTGGTTTTCGGCAATAAGTGCAATATTGTCGCAATTTTTATGGGCCCTTTGGCACATTCTGCTCCATTTATGACATTATACGACGTGGCTGGCGACGTGTGGCCATGGATCGAGTAGAGTGGAGACGACTTCTTCGGACAGCAGAGGACGTCAATGCCTTAGCCTGATCGGTATCTATGAGTAGGAAATACGCATTTCAGACATTCGTAAATGCTTGCAATGATTTGGTAGAGAATATTAGGTAGCAATTACTAGATCAAGATTCCGGGACCGTTTTGTAGACAGGGTTGATTTGTGTCAGGCAATTGAAATAAAAAGCATCATACAAAGCACAATCCAAGGAATAGAAATGCGATGATCTGGAGTCAACAGATAGTCCTGATACAATCCAATTGATATTTGGGTGATTATATTCACCAACTGGAGTGCTATCTTGAGTTTTGAGGTTCAATAAAACAAGGCATAATGAATCCGGATGAAAGACAAATCAACTTTACGATCAGGTGGCAAATATATCACTCCGACGCTCACTGAATATGTTTCCAATTTAATTCGTCATTCACTCACTGGAGTCCGTTCCACACAACAGCATAACTTCGAGGAGACCGCTATCAAAACTCCTCCGTCGCGTAGCTTCCGACTGTTCAGTGGAATGGAATCAGTCCGAAAGATCACGCACTCATACTTCGTGCTAATTGAATTACTTTGAAGACAGTAATAATATGAATTAAAATACTTTTAGTAGTATTGAAAGTAATCAACAGATAATTAACGATAAAATGTATTGACAATAATTACAATACAATACAATTGTGCCAGTAATTGAAATTCAGAGTGTATTTAAAGTAATGAATGCAGTAATTACAAAATTTTAAATATTTGGTCAGCATGCTGCGTAGTATTGAAAGACTAGTGCGTGCCCTCGCATCAATGCTTCAAATCAATCTTCTTCAAAACATTACTTTCTATGTTCAGCAAACAAAAAGAGCTTAGCCATTAATCAGCTATCGATGTCCTCAATGACCTTAATTTGCAATTAATCAAAGCTAATTTGCTGACGTATTGTTTACCTCAACTCAACAATTGGTGACCAACAAGCTCAGATATATTGAAAGACCAACGTATAAAATTAAATCAGAAGTTCAAAGCTAAACTTTATTATTGAACGTAAATTGAGAATTATTTCCTTTAAAATATGATAAATTAAAACAACAACAAATATTTGCAATTGGCCCCTTTATCCCCCTCTAATCCGACCCTGCTTATTACAACGGTATCTAATTGTTCATCTCGAAACAAACTTTCCTCGTAACTCTTCGAAAACATCCCAATGGGGAATAGTCTGGCTCTAAAAGATCTTCCAAGCAAGTGTCTAAGCATTGAGTTTTATTAGTTTTATTAGTTTTATTGAACAAACCACTGGGTCCATTATAGTGTATAACTTTGATCATTATTACAAGCCCTTGATTCTATAGCAATCAGTTCTAACCACTAGTACATCTTCTCCACAACACGTTCCAGGTTATGCTTTCTTGGTCACCTGGATAACTGCTTTCGTGATGGTGGTGGTGCACGAGCGAGTGCCGGACATGAAAAAATATCCCCCTCTCCCGGACATTTTCCTCGACAACGTTCCGCACATCCCCTGGGCTTTCCACATGTGCGAAGTTACCGGCACGCTGCTATTTTGCATCTGGATCTGCGTGCTGGTAGTACATAAACATCGGTAAGTGCAACCGAACGAAGCGATCATAATTATATCTACAGCTCAACTCCTAGGGTGAATTATTCTATTTTGCTGTTTTTGCTTTTCTTTAAAGAATGGTATTATTACGGCGCTTTTTCGCGCTGGCTGGCACGGTCTTCCTGCTTCGTTGCGTGACGATGCTGATTACGTCACTGAGTGTGCCGGGAACGCACCTGGAGTGCACTCCACATGATCACAAGTTCGACGATAGTTCGAATGTGCGGATTACGGAAATGGTCTACCTGCGCATCAGCCGAGCCTACACCATTTGGAGCGGTCTAGGAATGTCGATCCAGGGCGTGCGAACGTGCGGCGATTATATGTTCAGTGGCCATACGGTGGCGCTGACTTCGCTCAATTTCTTCATTACAGAGTGTAAGTGTGTGCAAACACCTTGGCATGGATTTGCTTACTTTAGCCGGTTTTAGTTGACACTGGCACGGTAATGCTGATTTGAATTTTAATCGATGTCTCCATCTCTTTCCCGTAGATACACCGCGCAATTTGTACTTTCTGCACACGCTGACGTGGCTTCTCAACATGTTCGGAATATTTTTCATTCTGGCCGCACACGAACATTACTCAATCGATGTGTTTGTTGCGTTCTACATAACTTCCAGACTATTTCTCTACTATCACACGTTGGCTAATAATCAGGTAAGAGGGTATATGGCGGTGGTGTATTATGTAAAAGTTTCCTGAGTAAATGTCCACAAAACAAAGATGGGACTGATATGCGATTATGGGCAGTCTACTTTTCATATAACTATATTTTTACCTATACCATCTTATTTTTAGGCACTAATGTCTCACGATTCTAATCGTACGCGCATCTGGTTTCCAATGTTCAGTTACTTCGAAAGCTCGGTCGATGGCATCATCCCGAATGAGTACGACACCCTTTCTGGAGTGCTGTTCAAGCTGTTCGAGTGTGTCCTTTTCGTGAAGGATGTTTGCATGTTGACGGCTCGGCGCTTCTGGATCGCCCATGGCAACATTGAAGCCCTGCGAGAGAAACATAAACACCTGCTGCGCGCCAATTCTCAACTCTTATTTCCCAACAATCTGAACCCAAGTGGAGGAAGCCCCTCTGCAACCGACAAGAAGCCCTCTAAATGTAACAACATAAACGCAGATACCAGCGCTAGTATGAAGCGAAAATCGTTTAGCAATGCTCCAATAGAGAAATCTTTCACGGATACGGACGATACGACCAATGAAGTCAACAAAAAGGAAATGTAGATGCGGGATAAATAGATGCGTGGATCTATAGGTATTCTGGTAACACGGTAATCATTTATTTGGTGTTACTTTGAAGGTACGGTTTCAACCGACAGCGCTTCAACTGTACAAGTTATGAAAAATTAATTTATTTGTTAAAATAGGTATATTTGTTGTAACACCTTTGAAACTCAAACTATTACGAATAGGAAGGGCTATTTCTTATTTATAATAATTTAAATTTACAACAAATATGTGATATTATTTGGAACAAATAGGAGATACGAAAATTTTGTTAGTGAACTGAAGCAATACCTACTAGCTGTCAAAATCAAAATGAATGATCTCTACAGACTACTTTTTGTTTTCTCCTCAAGCAGAAAACGTGACTCCTTCAACGCGAAACTGATACCTATCTATATATAATTCCATTCCTTCATTTGGCACTCACCATTCATTACATTAGAGCGAGCGAAAGCACTAGTATTATATTTCAATGCAACGGAAGAGATAGCGACGAACTTTATACAAACTAGGGCAGCGTAAGCCAAAAATTAATAACTCCTTTCTCCGAGCCTGCTAAGTAATAGATAGTAGTTGAAAAACCATGGTACAGCGTCTAATAACAGTTCAATGTTAAACAAAAACAAACGGTACTGTTTTACAATTTAAAAAAAGGTTTATCTAGTCCAGAAGTAATTTTTCTAACGAGCAAAAGATTGATTATGCACCATTAACTGTTGTTCTAGGATTTACATTCTTCCCGAAAGTCTAAGGTTTTTCACACAAACTTAACTAGTAATCTTCCAGCAAGCTTACCAAATGGAAACCAAAAGATAAAGCAACAGTTTGTACCGTATTGTACGAGCAAAGAGGCGAATCCTTTAACGCACATTCGGTATATATTTCATTAGGAGAGACATTTTTTTTCTCTACACTCCTAAGAAGTCCTTATTATTATGTAATATAGGTAAACAATGTGGGATAAAAATGTTAATGACGAACGTTAACTATAGGAAAACAAAGATTATTTGGGATAAGTAAACATTGCTTCTGAGGTAATACATATTTGCTCGTCTTTACCTATTTTATCCGAACATTCCTTAAGCTTAGGCACCCACACTATCAGTAAACTTGTTGTTAACCAGTTTTAGGCCGCTTCCTTTAAAATACAGGCGCGACTGAGCAGTTATAACATGTTATAAGCCTGTCTAGACGACATTATTATTGTCGATAATTATTATAGGGGAAATGGATGTAATGTCGGCCTAAATGGCCCTAATTTGGGCCCATACATAAATTCATTTGTACCGTCGTTCATTTAGATAAAATTGATAAATAGCATATCTTTAGCGATAGGTCCAATCTTAGATCCATAGGCCAACATTAGAGCCATTTCCCCTAACATGTTATAACTCTGTAGTCTGAACAAGGCATAAGGCTCATATACCGTAATGCACCGAATACCGGATATACCGTAATGCACCGAATAACTGGATTTTTTAAATTAAATGTCACGTCTACTTTGCAACATATTAAATAAGTGTGAGGAAAATGAAACTAAACCTGAATATATCCACCTATGGTGAGATCTGACCCTTCTTACTTAATTAAATTTCGAATAAATTGCTCAACTGCTTTCATTCAGGCAACAGATGTACAATAATGTCTGAGTGATATGTGGGTCTGTGTCTGAATTTTCGCTCATATAGCAGCTTTAGGCGAGGAAGCACTCGGAACATGCCCGGGTGTGACCAATGGTACTGGAGTTGGCCGCAAATGACCATATTCTTGAATTTTGATGTGACTTTAGTAAACGTCAGATTTTGGCCACTTTCCTGGTGGTATCTGGAGCATGTGTGGTCAATGTTACCCTGAATACTAAATATTGTTGTTATAGAGCTATCATGAATCAAAAGATAACTTTTGGCTCATTTTAATTATGAATTCATGAATTAAATAGATACAACTTTCCTTGCTAATTATGGCAAACAAAATATTTGATTTCACTTAACACTACCCTTAGATCATAGCACTTGATTTTTAATTCTCATTTGATTTGATATGTCGCATGATCGGTTTTGGTCCAAGTCAGAAGCTGGCCACTTGATATAGGTATCCACCATTGCGCCTTTTTTTGAATTCTCATTTGAGGTGTCGGACGATGGGTTTTGACACAAGTTATAATCTGGTCAATTCCCCAGGAGTACCCGGAATATGGCCGGATGTGACGAATATGGACTCTTAATATGACTACCAATGATATTTTTTAATTATAATGTGATTTATGATGCCGATCCGATGTTGAAAAATAGCTGGTAATTTTATTAAAGAGACTTTTAGCCAGGGCTTGAAAGAAGTAGGGGAGAATGTGGTGAAAACTAGGCGCACCCAGAAAAGCGGGATGCTCTTCGAGCTGAGGAAAGACCCTGCGGTCAAGAGCTCAGCCTTTAAGATGCACGTCAAAAAGTCGCTAGGCGAGGAGGCAAACGTCAGAGCTCTATCCCAGGAGTGATTGAGTGCAGAAATCTGTATTAGATCACAACTGAAGGAGCTAAGAATCCTGCGCTGAAGATACAATGCAATCTGGGAGTTGTACCGATTACAATCCGATTGAGGCAGGCGTGCGGTGGCAGACAGCGTCGATACGACTTTTTGTATTTCGAAGGCCGCAGCTGACAAACTGTTGGAAACAGGCCTAGTCAAAGTTTGGTGGCCTGTGTGCTTGCTGAAAGCTACCCCTCGGGTAGCCAAGCAACTGTTGATATGCTTCAAGTGTATAGGCTTTGGTCATCAGGCAAGAAACTGCAAAGGCTCAGACAGATCTGATATGTGCAGAAGATGCGGGGAGAAGGGTCATATCGCAAGATATTGCACGAATGTTGAGGTGAATGTGCTCTGAAAAAGGAGGACCGAAAGGACCATATTATGACGGGAGGCTTCAAATGCCCAGCATACAAAAAGGCGATGGCGGGCTAAAAGTAACGGAGGTAATCCAAATAAAACAATCATTGCAACACTGAACAGCAACTGTTGTAGCTGTCGCCAACGAAAATAAAGTGCGATGTTGCAATCATTGTGGAACCGTGTCGAGTTCCCCCCGATAACGGTAACTGGTTGGCGGATACCAATGAGCTGGATTACCGAGGTGAAGCAATCGTTTAAGTTGTGTGATTAAAACCCCTGTACGATACAAGCAATTAGTGACGTCACTACTTGTGTTTAAGTTGATTTTTTGGTTTACTAATACAACCATATTTCACGATCTGCTTCACCTCTCTCTGTACCTCATTGGGCGGATACTGCTGGTCTGGCTGCAATACAAGTTATGGGCAGATATCATTCAAAAATTGGATGTGAGCTCATGCGAAGGTTTCGTGATCGCCAAGATTAGCGGAATGTTCATTTCTACACCCAGGAGATTTCAATACTTGGGCAGTGTAGTGAGAAAGCAAATGTACCAACGCAAGAGGGTACAGCCTACTGGAAGCTCTGACAAAGCTGGAAGTTAGGTTGTCCAACGAAGGCACCATCAGCACTTTTCACGTAGATGATCGGAATCCATTATTGACGTTACCTTCTGCAGTTCGTCGCTGGTGGCAAACATGAACTGGAGAGTGTTTGAGGGGTATTGGCGTTGACGGCGACTTTGTAGCTCTTTACTCCTATGAGAAAATCCATAAGCAAACGTCAGACTGTGCGTGAAACATGGCGGACTTTGTGCTATCCTTTCCCTCCACCGAAAATTCCCATAAGAAACTGTCTATATTTGTTGAAAGAGCAAATTTTTCGACGGTACCGTCAACGCCAATACAAAAAGCGTCCATCAGGCGATCCGGTTCGGTTAGGCATCTTGATGTTATTTGTGACAACTGTCAAAATTGCCGTTTCCGTTCCGCTTCCGCCCACATTGCATTTTGGGCCTACATGTGTTCGACACGGTAATCGCAAAAAAAAACTCTTTTGTGATTATAAAGTACGCATTTTTGAAAGAAAACGGCACTACTCATAAAAAGGCTAAAATTTTACACATTTATGAGTACAAAAATGAATAAAATTTATGCATTTATGAGATTTATGAGTAACAGATACTGGTGTAGTCCCGTTTTAGCCAAGGGGGGGGAGGTGGCTGTCAAATGCGAACAATCGTCGCCTACCTCGCATAACTGGTTCCAAACGTAAACAAGCCACAAGAAACCTACAGCGTTTGTTTACGTTTGGAACCAGTTTCATACAAGAATGATCAGTAGGCTGATTTGACAGTACGTCCCCCCAGGTTTTAGCCGAATATGCATACTTTATAGCAGAGCGTAAAATTATTTTTTTTATTTTTTTTTATATCTTTATTAAGGAGACTTTTAGCCGTTGGCTGGCTCGTCTCCGATTGCGTAAAATTATTGACTGCCTAGGCTGAGTGTGAAAGCACTGCACTATTCAATCCATTGCTCTGTGCAGACCGTTTGTACCAAACGGTAAAGGAAGGAGCAATGAAAGAGCCAACAAAAACATTCAGTCACTCACGAGCAGGCGACGCACACCGCTTGCCTTCGCTCACACAGTATGTAATTGAGTCATTTTTCCATAGAAAATGTACGCTCAGTCATTCAAAACAAATATTGGGTACCATCAACGCAGAATAAACGTGTTGACTGAGCTACTGACTGAGTGCTCGGCTGTCAGTTACTCGTTTACCTCTCAATCATTCAGACTCTCACGAGGCAGTGAATGATGAGGCAGATGGCAGTTCATATTCATATCAAAATGACTCAATGAACCTGACTGTCTTGCGCACTGCTTTATAGTCAAAATTGAGTCTTTTATAGTCATTTTTGCGTATTTTGCGGTTTCCGTGTATGAGAACAACCGATCACATAACCCTAAATTGAGTGTTTTAATTTGAGCGTATTTGATGTTTACATCAGAACGCAGCCATTCCACTCTCGCCCGTTTGCAACATTGGAGGATTCTGAAGGGGTTGTTTTATTATTTGCGAAACGTCATTTAATTTGTTCTTTTCGTTTGTTTTCCGCGTTCGGTTCGTCGCGGGTGCGTATGTTTTGTTTCGGGAATAATTTATAAATTTTCTAGTTTAAATTGAAGTTTTCATTGTATTATTTGAACGGTGATGTTGTGTAAAATTGGTGCGGTTGAAATCATAAAATGACACGAGTGGTGAATACATTCAAATTCCATAATTTTGATCGAATGCGAACGTGGATCAAATTTAGACTGATAGGACACTATCATGGATTATTTAAAAACAGAAGATTCACCAAAAGTTTTCTCGTATAAGGAGGCGCTTGATGGACACTTATTCACAAAATTAAACGTATTTTGTTTGCGCTAAACCGTATCAATCTTCCTGAAAGCTTCTTGGGTGAACAACATGTGAAACGATTTTAAATACGAAGCGCTTTGGTTGTTAATGGCAATAAAGTTGTATGGTGCCAACATTTCAAAAGGGCAAAATTACATTAGTAAAAAGTGGCTTTATCCGTCGATTTCTCGCAAATAAAAGCTTACACCTGCAAAGTAAGGACACCATCAGGTAGATGAATGTTTCCTCTACAAGCTGGCTTCGTTAATTTGCAGCAGTGAGCTTTTATTTGTGAGAAATAGGCAGATAAAGTCACTGTTAACAAAAACAGTTTCGCCCTAATGTCATGTTGGCACCGAGGAATTGCTTATGATAGATATTTACTTATGTTTTGATTGTTCTATCTTTATTTGTCTGGTAGGTACCTAGCTGAAAAGCTTGTTTGTGTGTACGTATCGACCCTATCACATATTGCAGCATAGTGCTTTGAACAAGTACATTCAAACCGATAATCAAACTCTTCAAATAATCTCGAACAACTTTGACCTTCTCATCGTTTCTCTACGAGCGACCAAAAGTATCAAGTACTTAGCCAATCAGACTAGCTTACATATAAATACGTGAGTTATACAAAACAGAATATATTCGTAGTTTTGCTCGGCGAATGATCTCACTGATTTGATGTGCTGACTATGTAACACATTACAATAAAAACTATCAAATAAAAGATAATAATTTGAAGTCAACATTCATATAATTTACATAAAATTTGATAAATTAAGCTTAACGTTTAATGTAAACATTATTTTATAAAACCAAGAAAAAAGTCTGGCGAATGTTTTGCCATGATTGTCTGTTTCGTGAAACAGTTAATAATGAGCAATGAAAAAAAAAAAATCCCCACCCTACCGTCGTCGTCTCTTACCTCATCTATATAAAATTGTTACGTCTGCTTTCATGCCAACTTAAATCTGAATCATATGACCACAGACAAACAGACATAACACTCGCAAGCTGTTCACCGAAAACGCATTTATCGGTAAATTTAAATAGTTTTTAGTTGGTAGTATCGCCACCTGTGGCGCGCAGAGTCATTTCCCTTGCGTTTGACGTTTACACACTAGCTCCATCTGTTCAGCGTACTGCCCATCACAGTATACTCAACAGATGGCGGTAGTGTTTTAGCAACGATGTTTTACATATATTGAAAAAAAAAAAGTCAATGTGTTATGTCTGTTTGTCTGTGATATGACTTTGCGTATATCAGCTCACAATACGTAACACAGCTGACGAGTCGCCTGCCGTTTGATCACCACCGTCCATCACCGCTATTAGCAAAAAGTTGTCTGTGTAGAGGGTTAGGTGAGACTGATAAATATGATATCAAACTGAAAGTGCATTAACATTGTGATTGAAAGAAATCAATTTTCGTACATTTGACTAACCCTTTGTCCACCTTTCTCGATATCTGGAGCGAGTTTATTGCTCCAGATATAGACAATATATTCTGGGTTTACTCGTTTTTCATTTTTAAATTTTGTCCTCATCCTATGTTCAGACTACTGAGTTATAAAATGTTACAAGGCTATATGACGTTTTTCTTGTCGATCATGGTTATAAAACCCTTGTAATATGTTATTAGTATACAAGACATTAGGATGAGCAAACCAGTTTCAATCCAACCACAATTTTCTTATTTTTTTTTCTATTTTTTTCAAACAAGTGACACTAAATTTTTGTTTGATTGTTTGCTGTTTGGTTCAACCCCCTACAATGCGATCCAGATCTTGAAACTGCCGAAAACATCAGCTGGTGATCCATAACATCTTTAAGCTCCAACCATGTAACATTAAATGCGGCAAGGTGGAATCAAATGTATTGCCTTCAAACACCATTCTTACATTCCCGCAATAGACAAATAAAAAATGATTTAGTTGTTTTCGAATTTACGAGCACAATTTGCGATGCTTTCCTATAACGTTATCTAGAAAACTCCATCATTTGTCGTAACGCGGCGCGACTATAGTCGCTATATTCACAGTCTGGCGGATAGAATCTCGGAAACCAATTGAGCTGTCAAATAGCAGAACGCATCGAGCAAATCACAACCAACAACAGAAAAGAGCACATCAGCTATTGCGAACAAAACTTCGGAAAACCTTTTCTCGTGACTCAAGGCTCGCCTACGCAAACTAACACCATCTTTGGGTTGAGGAAAGTTTCCCCTATCCGATGATGCTGGTAATTTGCGTTCTATTGGCGAGGAAAGAATAATCAAAGTTTTGTTTATAGAAGTTGATAGTACCTTTTCAATTGTTGGCCTACAATATATTGAATTGGTTCCGCTTTTTGATAGATCGAAATTCCATCCGCCAGACTATGAATATAGCGACTTTAGGCGCGACATGTTCAAGCTTATGCATAGAGGAAAAGGAGAAGCTTTCAACTTAGCACCAGAGAAATTTGGCTTCACTCGAGTTGTTTGCAGATGACAGGCGTTGTAGTCCTGTGTCATGGTTGGTTCATCTTGCCTAGGGACACTAATTTTTTTAGAGATCACACCCAAGTAACCATCAAGTCCGTTAATATAAAACGCGCAATATAACGCTGATTTGAGGCTAATTTAAAAATTCAAAGCCGTTTATCAGCCTTACATTGCACAAAGGGCCCTTATCGGGCTGTTACGGGCTTGGTGGTTCCTTGGGAGGATCACAAATACGGACAAAAAATCACGTAAAAACAGAATTTAGTGTAAATGGCCCCACGACGGGACCGCCGATTGGCATCACTTCGTTTGGCATAAAATAACGTCACATAACGGTTGTTTGGCATATTACTGCTTTAAAATTTCTTCCAGAGGCAAAAAGAACAAACAATATGACATTTTTCTTGTAGGTACAACATTTGATAAATAGAGATTTTCGCTTCTTTCAAACATGACGCTTAATTCGAGTTTTATTGTTTCAATAATGTTGGCCCTTTGTCACTACTGTTTGTGGTCATCCTTTGCCCCTCACCCTGCTGGGGGCGTTGGACAAGTAGAACTGCGAATAATTTGGTCAAATCTCATGCTTCGTTATTGGCGCTTTTTCACTGCTCCTAAAAACCTCTTTAATATTAAAGAATAAATACGAAGTGCATTCTAAAAATGCATTTCTCGCGTTATTTTTCTAATAGACCAATGTAACATATCCACCATTTTTTTTAACTGTTTAGAAACAATACATTTTGCAATATTATTTTAAAGAGTCAGTGAATAGTAACGTTGAAAATTCAGTAGAAACGGTAAAATCACAATTTTACTTTGAATTTCCTGCTACAATATATAAAAAAAAACCACATAGGACGTTTTTCCTAGTCAAGTTGTACATCGGACATATTACATTGGACGATTTTTCTCAATGACATAATCAATGAGTGTTACATGGGACGATTTGTTCTACATGATATTAGATTCCCGTCCACAGATTTCATAGTAGAGTACTCAACTTTAGATTGGCCCCGGCTTTGGAAAATGAGCACTAATCATGTTAGGCAGTTCGAATGACCGAAGTAACAATCATGTACCCATCATTTCAAACTGTACGTTGGACAATTTTTGACCTATGATTATCTTAAATAAATGAAAGTAAATTTGGATGAGTGTTTTTGCATAATATACAATGATAGAAGAGCAATAGTTTGTATCGCTTAACTCGATTTGTTTACATTTGTTACTTAGGACCTTTTGAAAAGTGACGCGAGATTTGTGGTATTACTGATCGAGGGGGGCACACTCTATCTACGATGCAGGAAAAATCGTGTTTTGCTGTGGTTAGCTACGAGCACGGTGAGCAGATAGAAAGAAGATTGATGGCGATTCTGAAGATTTCCTGCAAAAAGATGATGCGCGATGCAAGTAGATACGAGAAATGAAAGAAGATTTTTCGAAGATTGATTCGCTAGTGTGAGATTTGTTGAGCATCAATTGAGATTTAGAAGTGTTGCCTCCCTCGTTACTGATCCATTCTTTAGAGCTTAACGACCACTCACAATGGATATGATGCGTTCGCGTTTGCGTGTATTTGCGTGTTAACCCATAGATTATCTATCAAATTTACGCAAGAGCACTTTGCAGCACAAATATCTATGAGGAAAGGCTGTTGGTCCGTATTACCCCCAGCTTACACCCTGTGGTGGTATACGGCACTGCTTGCACGACCAATTTTTTTGCTGTCGAGCATGCACACCAAAAATACAGGAATCTCCGAATAACGCGGTGGGTAGTGCCGTCCACCCACCTTAATTTCCGGGTGTCTTCCAATCAATTAAGCTGCTTTTCTGTAGATGGCAAGTTTATGGTTGACCCTAAATAATCGAGTACTCGGCTGTGCAAATCTCGGCAAAAAATTGCCGAGCTAACATATACAAAACTAGGTGCGTACGATGAGAATGGTTTAGATGATCCTCTCTCGAGATGTCAGTGAGTTCAATTTTTTATATACAGTAAGGTGGGGCAATATGGGTCACGGCTACTTGATTTATTTATTTTTTGATTGTCAACATCAACAGGCTGAATATCCCCAATGCTTGCCTGGAAAAGTAAACCATAATTGGGGTAGCATTTAACGTGATGCTTTAGACAGTCAAGTAAGTTAATAAATGTTTCAACTAACCCATCTTGCCCCGTGACTCATCTTGCCCCACCTTACCCTTCGTACAATTTTAGACTGCTTTTAATCTATGTCTGGTGAAGTCACCCCAGACTACTAATTCATCGTAGTAGTCTGGGCGCATTGGTATATGATGTCCTAGCAATAAATGACTGGTTTGATTGATTGGCTCGAAAACTATTACGTCTTCGCCACACCTGGCTTGTAATTGGCGGTAACATTTGATAACAATGATCAATGCCATCAAACATCAATGTCATCAGAAACATTGGGGTCATCCACAAATTATGTTTGAAAATATGGGGAATAGGAGTCAAGATTTCATTCAGGCAGGCAGTACTTCTCATCCCCAACAAGTCACGAACGACCTAAAATGTATTAAAGTGGCTGTTAAAAAAAACACAAAAAAAAATCATACCTATTTTTACTATGTAGTCATATGTAGGAAGACAAAAATTGAAAGTTTTTGCCAATCTATTGATGTAAATGAAATTAGGGTGATCCCTATGCTAAGTCAGTTTAAAATATATTATTTCTATCCTTCCTACTAAGAAGGGTATACATTAGGATTTGTTTTCCAATTATCCAATCCAAAATTCCTGATTATAAATCAGGTTCTGATACTGCACTGGTCCCTTGATGTTTATATGAGAATTATTGTGGGAAGAGTGAACTTTTTGTTCTCAGCGTTCTAGCCCTTCGCTGTAGAGATCTACGAAAAAGTTTTCTACTTGCTCTTATGGGAAATGTTTTTCAGCTACAACTTAGCTAAAGTCTGGCCTTCCATCGACTATGGTACTGAACGGCGAAAAGCTTCATCCCCTCAGGACATTTGCCGTCTGTTCTCAACCAAGTTTGCGAGTGTATTCTCGGATGAGAACCTACCTGTCGAGCACGTTTCACTAGCAGCCATTAATGTTCCAATATCTGGTCAATCTTTGGCAGCTATCAACATCGACCTCGTTATGATAACTAGGGTGGCTTCGCAACTAAAGCCTTCATTTAAGCCTGGACCTGACGAAGTTCCTTCCGTCTTTCTCAAACAACACATCGATAGCCTGGTGGCTCATCTCTGCCTTCTGTTCGAAATGTCCCTCTCCAGTGGGGTGTTTCTTTCCTGCTGAAAATCAGCTGAGATGCTTCCAGTGCATAAGAAGGGATGCAAAAGAAACATCGACAACTATCGCGGCAGCACATCGTTGTGTGCCATATCTAAACTGTTCGAGTTGGTCGTTATGGAACCATTAGTCTCGCACTTCAAGCAGCACTTGAGCGAAGACCAGCATGGTTTCATGGCAGGGCGATCGACTACTTCCAACCGTCTATGTCTCACCTCGTATATTACGGAGAGTATGACAGACCATATGCAAACAGATGTCATCTACACTGACTTATCAGCCGCCTTCGACAAGTTGAACCATCCTATAGCGATCGCCAAACTGGAGGATAGGCTCGGTATAAACGGCAGTCTTCTACGATGGTTCGCATCCTATCTATCTGATCGTCAGTTGGAAGTTGCAATCGACTGCCGATCTCCTTAGTTTCCTGCCACTTCGGGTATTCCGCAAGGTAGCCACCTTGGCCCGTTGATATTTCTTGTGTATTTCAACGACGTCAATTTGGTGCCAACTGAACCGCATGGTTATAAATCCAACAAAATGTTCAGTAATTACGTTCTCACGGAAAAAAACATCCAATTACATTCAGTTATATCCTAGAAGCCGTTGACTACATCGTGTGAATTACATTAAGGATCTGGGAGTCATCTTAGATTGTCAACTCACATACAGCCAGCATAGGGTTTTTGATCTAATTTCCGTCCTACTAAGGACATCCCGCACTTTACCACGCTTTTTGGAAAGCGTTTGAACAAAACATGGAATGTTTTCACCAAAGATAACTTCTAAATTTATCCACCTTCACATACGTACCGTTGGATTTGATAAAGAGTCAAACAATTTTGAGATATTATTAAAAATATAACACTGCTTCTTGCTTCTAAATTCGTCCTACGCGTTTCAATTCCGTCCAAACACATTGAAACGCCATTAGATTTTCTTCGTCCTACGGATAAACGGAGAAAAAGGGTGTTTTGAGAACAATGAGCGTAAATATGCATGCAATGCGCTCTAATAGGGTTGGTGAAATCATTGATATTATTGATGATTTCTGCTCGATAGAACGGAAATGGGTGATTACGACGAAGTAGCGCTCTTCCCTATCTCGTACGTGATCGACAAGGCATCCAGAACGCTCGGCTTCGTTTTCAGGATAGCTAAAAGTTTCACGGACATCTACTGTTTGAAGTCGCTTTACTGCTCCCTTGTCCGGTCGGTGTTAGAATACTGCTGCCCTGTATGGAATCCCAATTACCAAAACAGTGTACAAAGAGTAGAGTTTATTCAACGATGATTCATCTGGTTTGCCCTTGGAGGATTTGGGCGTAATTGCATTTGTAAACAAATACGTCAATCACCGATGTCTCGCGAATAATAGCTTAATCTCGAAAACTAATAACGCTATGAGGTAGAGGAATGATTCCTCTATCATTTGGTATAGTTTGTTTATGAAATTGAACTTTAATTCAAGAGAAATCGGCAATTGACGTCTTTGTTTACAAAAGCAATTACGCCCAAATCTCAAATCACTCCGGAAACTTCAAAGTGCAGTAGCTCAAATTTTCAGAAATTTTGAGAAAATTATCAGGATCTGATTTGAAGTAGATTGAGTTTGTTGGAGCAAATTCGATATTTTGAACCATCCTAGTATACATATCGCTAAAGCCGTTGGTCCCGGCCTATATGTGTTGAATGGGTGCGATATCCTACGCAGGTGTGGAAGCTGCCTTCCTGCACATTCGAGTGCCATCAATGGATGCCAATCAATGTCCGTCGGTGATTGGCACTAAATTGCGGAAAAGAGACCGACGTTAAATAAAAACAAAATTCAAACGTATTTTATGTTAAAAATCATGTGACATCAATGTTTAAAATAAAAATCATTGTACGTTTATTTTACACTAAGATGATTCAAACTAATTGTGTGCATTTATTTGTGTTATCGCCATCACGTGCGAGGGGCGATTCACTTGTGTATTTTCGATTCAGGTCAACGTATTGATGAACTAATTGAAGTATTTTTATCGAATAAACGTGTATTTTGCGTAATAATGTATTATTTTGCACTTTTTGAATATATCTAATTTTCTGTGTATTAGTAAAATAAAAGTGTATTTTTATGCATTAAAGTATTGAAAATCAGTTATAAGTGTATTCTGTCATTTCAGTGTTTATGTTTACCACTCGAACCGAACGGAACGGATCAAACTCACAAATGCACAGCACACGCTAACTTTAAAATACCCACTGATGAGTAGCATTTCACCCACATTAACTGTACATTAACTACGTAGACAGATTTTTGGGATTCTTGAGCCCCTCCCCACCAACCTACGTTGACAATTGTCCATACAAAATTTTAAAAATGTTTATGGGCCGTGGATAATTGCCAAATATGTAAAATAATAGTAATTTTTACAAGAGAATAATAATTACAAATTTTGCAAAACAAAGAATATTCACTATTTACAAAACTGGTAAACAAAAGTTTTCCATCGGAAAACTATTGGATCAGTTTGTGACCTTCAAAAATATTAAAAAATGCAGTTCTCTAGCATCGTTAAATTTAAAATGACCCCAGAATTGATTTCGGTATCCTATCAAGATTGATTGAGTAGTATAAAAATGCCATTTGGTTGAAACAAACTTTTCTGATTGTGTCGCGAAATTTTAATTTCTAGCCCATAGTGTGCACTACTGACACTCAATATCTTACAGTGTCTTGCAAGGGGGTAGGGAGAGTATTTTTTCCTTGATTTGGTTTCCATCGATCTTGTTTTCCGTGCTGAGCACCAATGCAACCGACGCCAGGGAGGCAGCTCCCACACCTGGAGACTATCTATCGACCCATCAACTCATGAACCGGGGACTAACGGCTTTACTTCCCTTTCGTAGGAAAGTGTGATCAGAGATGTTATTGTTCAGAACATCCCGTCGGCGCCGACTGGGATTGAACCCAGGCCTGCTGGGGTGGGAGGTAATCACGCTTACCACTACACCATCGGCGCTGCTAGGGAGGGTATAATAATCTCTCAAAAACCCTTACATAATTTGTGGATGTCCCCATTGACGATAGCGTATATGAGTACCTCTTAATTTAAGTGTTTCGCTCCGAAACAACTGCCCCTACTTGAAGGCAATAAACCGTTTGTAGTGATTGTATGTCCGCCTATTGTAAATGCACCTTCGCCCACTAAGCACGTGACCCAGGAATCCGAACTGATAAAACATTCAAGCCTATTCTGCGAGTCAAAAGTCACGTCGTGTGAGGTGACTCTCCGAACACATCATACTATAGAGAGCCACTTCAGACGACGTGACTTTTATCATCTCACTAGTGACAGAGAGTCACACGACTCGCAGAATAGGCCTGAATGTTTGGTTCTCACTTAGGCTCAGGCGGGAAGCCTATTAGTGCATTGTTTTCCCATCATGTGTAATCAGTTTCCCAATTACAGATTGCTTTCAAGCCTGTCGACAAGCCAGACGATATCGTACTCTACCACGGTACAAATAAAACCGCCACGAGCTGCTTAGGCGCTTGCGCTAGCTGGGGATGTTTCAGAGAATTCTCTCATTTCTCATTGAACCTGCTGCTGTTTCGCGAAAGAATCGCGAACCCATATTAGTATCGTCTTCGTGTTTCGCGCGCGTAAGTCACTTTAATTCACCAGAACAATCCTCTTCGCTCGGGATTGTAGTGTAGAGTAATGGAGTAATCGTAACGTATGGTAGCAGCAGTAGGTAGTAGCAGTAACACGGACGAGCAGATCAATCTGCGAGTCATTTGTATTCGGGATAGAAGAAGCATTGGGTGTGTACGTACTTATCTAGTGGCGGCGTTCGCGTGGCATATTTCGTGTGAATGTTAGATCGAATCCCAAGAAGCTTTCTTACGGCTATAGGTGTTGGGGAGTTAGCAAAGTTCTTAAAGGTGTTGTTATAAAACAATTTCAGTTCACAGATTGTTTAAGACGACCGTGTTTAACTGGAAGAAGAAAACAAAGAAATGGTGTAAACAAGAGTCAGACAAGTGAATTATTATTAAGAGTAAAGTGTTACTATATTATACAATGTGAGCAGAAGTGTGTGTTGTAACGCGTACCATCTACGACATCGTACAGACATCAAATAATGTGAATTTGTTCAAATCAATGATTTTGAGTGAGTTTGTTTTGGATGCAGTATATGGTTAACCCGAAGGCACATATCTAAAGGAAAAAACAGCAGCTCAGTATGTCCACAGTGTGAAAAAATTACATTGAGAAAACGGTGCAGAAGACGATCAGTTGATTATAAATATAATGGCATTATTTAATAAGCTGTTCTCAACCAACAAAAAGCGCAGCACTAGTCAATCAACGCAGAAATCTAACTTGGGGTAAGTTGATTGCCCTCTATTACTTTTCCTAGGTTAGTTCAATGATCGTGTCGATTAGCTAGTGTGATCAACAGTATACATCTCTATATAAACCATGGATGGGGCTTTCTCCAAAGTTTTTTCGGTGTTCAAACTGAAAAGCTAAACATCCGCCTTTCAGTGTATCCGAGCTTAGGGTGACCAACTGAAGAAACAAATCGCGTTCCATTCCGCTTCTGAAATAATCGAATCGTTAAAAACAGTTCCTCAACAAGAATGATCTGGTAACCCTGTCCGCGAGATGTGCGAATTATAGGATTACCTCTCGGGGCTATACCTATATATTCATCCAAGCTGGTGGTGACTGTTTTCTTCGAAGAGCGCGCAAAAATCACGTGCTTGGGTTGTTTTCTCCGCGTCCTTCCTACTACCTTCGCCTAGTTAGCCCTGTCCCGGTGTGATCTCCCGTATCTTTCTGTGTTCTTTTTATTCTAGTATTTTTAGCCACCCAGGCGAGAGCATTCGAAAACGAAAACAGAGAGACCGAATGATGCTGTTGCCGTGAGTTTGTATTTGGTTGGTTCCGAACGTTGCTCGTCGGGAAGGGTGAATTTTCATAGTATATGGCTTATGATCATTTAATATCTAATTTGAACTGGCTGTGACGTTAATCTGCAAGAAGCATAAATGAGATGGTCAGAACTATCTCAAATTCCTTTGCTCATACAGTTTGTTTCACTATATTTCGCATTTTCTCGTGCACATAACTGATAAGGGAGGGGGTCTTAGAAATTGCTTTCGTAAGCATGTAAGCATCAAATGCAGACCATATCAAGGCTGATTTTTTTAAAGGACGTATCTGATTTTATAAACAATGATTCAAACGTCAGGTTTTCGAAACTATTAGCTTGCCCACATACAAAAACACTACCATCAGGTAGGTAAAGTTAGTTTTTCTTTAACATTCTCGAAATTCTCGCCATAAAACTTTAGGAATTACCTCCAGGAAGGTCTTGGAATTCAAACCACAATTAACTTCATGTTCTCAAAAAATCTCGCCAAAATGTGCGTAAATGACTCTTCATGATTCTCTTTGAAATTCACTTGGAATATCCCTTACAAATATCCTCAACATACTTGAAATTCCCTAAGAATTGAAGAATAGAATGAATGGAAGATAATGTTTTTAGGAATCGCCTTGAAAAAACTACCTTGAAATTCGACAATTTTTTTTGAACTATCCTCTGAACATTAGTGACGGCACGGATAGGCTCATTCAACCATTTCGATTGTTTAGTTTCGTTGCCTTATCACTCTCTCAGGTGCGTAGAAGAAGAGCGGACGATGTAATTCAGGGGAACCAATTGCGCTGCTAATGGCTGGAGGCGAACCAGCCGAAGGCTGAAAACCTCCTTAATAAAGAAAACCTAACCTTGCGCTGGTAATGATTCTAGCAACAAAAACAGCTTACGGGTTGCTTCTTTCTACGTAGACGACGTATGCGATCCACGTAAGAAGGCAAGTTAGCCGCATCTAAATAAGATTCTAAAAGAAGCTTCTAAAAGAAGTTTCTAAAAGAAACTTCCAAATAAGCTTCTACAGGTACTTCTTAAGAAGATTCTAAAAGAAGCTTCCTAATGAAGCTCCGCTTCTCTGACTAAAAATAGATTACTCCCTTGGGGAATTGCGGAAACGTTCATGGATCCAAAGACTCCGAGTTTCTCAAGTTTTCTTAAAAGAATGCAGTGGTCCGTTCGATCAAATGCAGCTTTGACATCAGCGTAAACACCATCGACTTGTCCGCCAGAACTTTGGTTGGTAACTGACCGTTTTGGGTAGAATCTATGATGAACTGAGGAAATGTAGTTTTTACAAGAGCTGAAGAGTGCCTCATTAATGATGATCTCAGATGCTTCGGAGCAGTAACATAATGATGTGATGCTTCTGCAATTCTGGAAATTCTTGTAAAAATTTCCACGCCACAGCAAATTTGCTCACCTGCAATGACAGATTACCTGTCAGAACACCAAGTGCGAAAGTGCGTTGTGATGCTGTTAACAAGCAATAGAAGTTGAAAATCAGCGAAGGGCCATTAATGCGACAGTACTAGTCAAACCATGGATGAGGAGACTTGAAGTATTTCTTCAAATCTACAGGCAGACAGTATATGAGCAAGTCAAACGCGCACTTTTTGACTGTAGACTTGAAGAAATACTTCAAGTCTCCTCTTCCATACGTATGAGTTAGGTAGAGAAGTGTGCGTTTGACTAGTACTGTCACATTAATGGTCCTTCGCTCATTTTCAACTTCTATTCAATTTTCATACTGCCGTACTCTAGAACTATCTACCTACACTCTTCAGAACTTTCTCTAGCTATTAAATTAACACACTAATGCCGCGGATACACTTGTATGACCTCCTATGAGCATGAGCATTATTTGTATAATAATTATGAACACTATACAACTACTATACACAAACTATACAAGTGTGACCATGGATGTGCTCATAATTTACTATACAAATAATGCTCATGCTCATAGTTTGTCATACAAGTGTATCCGCCGCATGAAGCTTCATGTTAGATTGCATTTCCAACTAACCCTTGAGTTGTTGTTGTTGTTGTTAACTAGCTTCGCCAAGGGAGTGTGCCATGCTTCGGAACACAACTTCAAACCAAACGCAGGAATGTCATCCGGGCCGGCAATGAACGATAGTTTTAACCTTTGAAGAGCTAGATTGACGGTATGTTCACTGATGTGAAATGAATAGAGCTCGAATGCATCTCTTGGAGAATCACTTGTAATAATCGTAACTTGGTGAAACCGAGGTTTCGTTGGACGAACTAATGAAATGTTGAGCGAAGAGGTGGATTTTTTTGGTTGTTTTTTGAGTTGACAAATCATCTGGAACGCTTCAAATTTCTGTGAAGAGATGACTGCGTATGGAATACATATCGTCATAGAAATCTGTTGTATTTCCTATAGTCATTACTAGTACGGATGAACTCCTTTTTCGTAATCTAAGAACGTTTTGTGCAGCCTCTTCGTAGCGCTGTGACTCTATACCGTTTTAGTTGACATAGGTGACCATTGGACCACAGTAGCTTCGGCGTGGAGTAAGCAATAGGTACAAACTCCAAGATGGCCATCGAACCGGGGAAACCAGGAGAGCCGAGAATTGTATGGGAATCAAAAAGTAGAAGGGTCTGTGCCTAGAGGCACGAACGGAAGCTTGACGTAGGACCGGTCGATGTGGGTGCTTTCGTCGCGATCAGTGGCGTTTCCTTAACCTCAATCTACCTGTGCAACAACTCTCAAAACATAAACAATTATCAAAATATTGCTTGCAATGGATAGATATCGAGTAAACTAGAAGATTTAGTGTATTTTTCAACCGATTCGAGTATGAATACGACATTAAATCTGGTTTTGAAAGTTGGTGCACAGGTAAAAAGTGAGGTTACGGGACGCCACTGGTCGCGATGCGTCTTCGTATTGGTGCGATGCGTGCTGTTCCACTCATACGTCGTGTCTGACGCTTATCCATCCGTTGCTCGAAAGCAAATGACGAAGAAAACTTGACTTTAATTGATCTATATTTCTTGAATTTGCGTGGTTTACATGTATAACTTATCAAGTGACACAGATGCGTCTTTTCAACTTTAGTTCCTTTGAAATTTCAATTATTATTAATTACAGTTCCTAGTCCTATCAGGCCTGTTTTAAGTATGACCACCTTGGTGGGATTGGTTTGTTGACAAAGAAAACGATTTGGCAAACAGTTTATTATCGCTGTTTTTCTCCCTTCCTTTCATTGGTGAAATGATGAGCGATCAACCGAGCATTGAGCTCGCTCATGCATGCACAATGTGTCGTTTGTTCGATTTGCGCTCTATCGTTGCATCCGTGTTTGGGATTTTTCGTTACATGTCTAATTTTTTTTAATGTGACCCCCCAGTATAGAATTTAAAGACGTAGTGTTACGTTAAAACAACCGGGAATTTGATATGAATTGTAATATATTTGTATACTATTGCGTAGATATTTTTTGTATCCTATTGTTCTCAACTTAGTGTTCTAGATGCACTTCCACAGTTATTAATTTAGAGCTTTCTATGCCAACCAATGTGTGGCAAGCTTAATGATACTCTATGTCCAGGGAAGTCGAGAAAATTTCAATTTGCTAAGTGAAACAAATATTATCGCCGATATCGGTACAGTTGAAAACTGGACTAACCCACAAGCACAGACAAACAGACGTAACTCTTTGAAAAAGTTTTTCTTGAAAACTTAGTATCTGAAAACATAGACCTCAGTAACGACATCTCTCGGGCTTCTCGCGGAAAACAAGCTTGCTCGCTAGCTCGCAAACAATATTGCATAAAAGTTCTATAGAATGTATAGAAACGTCAAAGTGATCCGATGCCAGCGCTGTGGCGAGTAGTTCGCGGAACTGATAATATTCAAATCAACCGTTAAATGCATGAACGAATATACACAATGAAGTGTTACGTCTGTTTGTCTGTGCCACAAGCGACAAATAAGTTTACTCGCGTTCTGTACAATAAACATAGTGTCGGAAGTAGTACGATGTAATCACACAATGGTGCGCTATACAGCGCAGTACTTCCGACACTATGTTTAACGTACAGACCGATAGTAAAATCGCTAATCCCTAGTGGGATATTCCGGATTTCAACTGTACCAATAACAGTAAAATGAAAAGAATTCTGTTGTGTATAACAGTGACCCAGAGATAGTTGTAAAATACAACCAGTAATCTCATGATGGGACAGTAGGCCGATATTCAATCCATTTTCCTGAAATGTTTTCATGTGAGCGTAAATTTTGATTGCCGGATTCGCACGCGAGTTTATTCACGCAAGAAGGCTCAATGAATGATATTTAAGAATGGTTTTCCGAACACTGATAGTGTCAATTGTTAACGAAATGATAGGCTGATGATAAGAGCCTATGTTGACAATGGAATTTTATCTGTAGGTCAATTATTTGTTGAG